CTCTTTCCCGTCGCCTTCTACCACTAAATCAATGGTTTATTCTCTTATCCTTTCTCAACTTCTACTTGATTTACTTCTTTCCAAGCTTCGCCCTCTTTCCTCCATTCTTAACTGTGGCTTGCTTGATTTTCTATCTTTCTCTCTCTTTGCTCACATTTCTCCTTTGTGATGTTTCTGTGTCCTTACCAGGCCTGGTTTAAGCTTCTGTTTTTCATTTTCAGATCTCTTCTGGTAGATCTTCTTTCCCTTTTCGCTCTAGTAATTGTCTCCTCTTAGGCAAGCCTCAAATTACTTTGGTTTCATTCTCCCATCCTAGCTCAGACTCATGGTTCCCCAATATCTGCACCTCTCCCTCCTTACGACTGACCCCTGGAAGTCCCCTTCAGTCTGAAGTGCTATTAATGAAGTACTGTCCTGTACAAAGAGCTGTTCTCACAATGGTTGGGGCAGTGGACGTCCAACTACATCGGCCTACCCTACCTTACCCTGATTTCTACCATTTTATTTTGTGCAACTGTTTGTGGCTTTTTGCCCACTTGCCCAGTATCTGGTTTCACCTTTGGGCACACATACAGATAGCCTTTTTCGGAGCACTTACTAATTTGTACCTTACCGCCATCCCGAGTTGTATCTGATATTTCGTATAGGTTTTTAATACTGTGTAATTATGTTTTTAACTGTTTTAAATTAGTTGTATATACTTGATGTTGCAACCTGCCCTGAGCCCTGCTGTGCAGGGGAGGGGAGGCTAGAAATCCAATTAAACAAACAAACAGTGCCTATTTCAGTTTCTTCAGGTAGATACCTGACTGCATGAAGTTTGGTCTAAAGCATACCTACCCACATTGGGTAGCAGATAAGCAAACCTGCCTTTTATGCCCCATCCCATCTGAAAGGAGTGCCTGCCTTGATGTGCCTGTAGTGTATGTTGCATTCACTTGTCTTGTTTGCACAGATGGTCATAGGCTACTCCAACCAGGCAAGGAAGGCACGAATGGTGGAACCTACAAACCGGGAGAAAAAGGACTTGGGACTCTTTGGTCTCTGGCAGACGGAAGAGTACCAGCCCCCTGTGGCAGTAGATGGAAGGGTAAGCAGGAGAACAGATCAAATTCGATGGAGAGGCTAACAATCTAAACTTTAACACCTGCACTGTTATATCTACCTGCTAAGTCGTGCAACATCCACAAACAGCTTTCAGCAAGGTTGCCGGTCAGGCCATAAACTCTTTTGAATTTCTCCAGAAAGGTAGACACACATCCTTGTGTTAGTTGTGAATGGAGCACGTGCATTTAGATTTCTACTTTTCAGAAGCAAAATAGTGGATTGAGAGAGCTTAGCCCTTTCCTGTTCACTGCCCCTGCCTATGAAAGTGGTGATTTTAAATGTTCTGTCACTTCTAGCTGTGATGTGGTGCTACCTAGGGAGAACAAGATTGTCAGAAGTTACTTCTGTCCTCCCCGCTAACCCTCCAAATGTTTGCTTTTGCTATCAATAGTATTGGCAAGACATTATGTTTTGTTATCTTATACTATTGCATTGATCCAGTTTTTAGGATTCAACTGCAGTTCGTGTGAATATTTCCAAACTAGTCCTGGTATTCTCAACACTGTTCTGCAGTGGTCTTATTGGATTCAGTGGAATTATTCCAGAATAAGCAATTTGAAGACTACATCTTAACTGCTGATAAGATTTCATCCTTGGCCTTTTTTTTTTTAATGACCTTTGGAAAAGAAGATTATTGTTGGGCTTTTTCGGGAACAGTGTTAATGAGGGAACTCCCATTTGTTTTGATGCATTTAGGCCTTGCTTTCTTTAAAACTCAGGTGACCAAAATATTTTTCAAGATCTCAGTGAAGCATTTTGGAGTTTGCAGGTAATCAAAAGCTTTGGGTTATGAACAGGACTCAGCACTCTGAACTACTGTAGAAGCAACCTGGCCATCGTAAAAGGCTTGAGCTAATAGCTTGACATCAAGCATAGTGTAAGATCCTTTTCTGTCCTCTTAAGGCCCTGTAGCAAAGTGAAAATGTTATACTGGAAGGAAGAACTCTGATCTGGGGGTTGTACTAGTGTTGGAAGGATGGTTTGTGCACCATTAGACCTTTTCTGTTGCCTGCCGTGTTTTATTCTCAGTTAGATGAACTGGTGGGGAATCAAGGACATGTACAACCGTGATAGCTTAAGCTGCTTTTGTGGAATCAGTTGAACTGGGCCAGAGTCAGTTAAAGTTGTTTGTGGATTGCATTTTATAGGATAATAATAGGTTGTTACAAGTGTAAAGTTCCACCAGGGTCTTCTGATATGATTTTCAAGTCTGACAAGAATATTGGCATGATAATAGAAATGCAGACTAAGAGTAAATATTTAGGAAGTATTCTTATGAAGTTACAGCTTTTTATTAAACATAGCATATAGAATTTCATCTAATGTTTTGTGTTCCTGTGACTCAGTCTTGCAGCAAGTTTTCTTCTGCATTTTATCATTTTAAACAGCAGTGGGCATGTAGGCAGGAGGCAATTTCTGTTTTAAAATATTAACTTCAGCCCTTCTGATTCACTCTTCCTTTTTGCTTCACTTCAGGTTCCTCGGAATGAATTTGGAAACGTGTATCTCTTCCAGCCCAGCATGTTACCAATAGGCTGTGTGCAGTTAAAGCTTCCCAACCTTCACAGAGTGGCCCGTAAACTGGACATTGACTGTGTTCCAGCTGTTACTGGATTTGATTTTCATGGGGGCTACTCACACGCAGTGTATGTCACAGTCCTGCTTTCTGGTTTTGTTCGGTCTGCAGTGGTGTCATGTGTGGGACCTGTTTCATCATCGGAGAGTATGCCTTAGATATGGGTAGGCTGAGAGGGTGTGATTGTCTTGGAAGACTGCTGGATGACCTTCAGCCGGAGTGGGTATCCCCACTCTGCCATAGAAAGTTGCTAGGTAACCTTGGTCCTGTTACACACTCTCAGTCTAACCTACACCACAGGTTTTTTTGCAAGGATAAAATAGAGAAGGGAAGAACGTTGTAAGCCACTTTAGGTCCCCATTGGGGAGAAAAGTGGGGTATTTAAATGAAATAAAATAAAACCGGGCTGCAGTGGCTAGACACCATAAAAATCAACACCAGCCTGAGCATGGAACACCTCAAAGAAACGTGGAGAGAGCTGGCCCATAGAATTGCCAAGAATCTGACACGACTGAATGGCTAACAACAACAACAAAATGAACATAATAGTATATGATTTTGGCGGATGTTTAGTTCCCCATCCTGCTTAATTTTTTTATTTCCATGGTAGTCAGGCAGTAGGAATCGAGTCAAGCTGGATTATTCAAGATTCCTCAAGAGATGCAGCTAGTTCATCAGCTGGCATATGAAATTAAACATTGCTCCATGTGGGCAGCATGCTGATGTGCCCTCTTACTACTGCAGGCCCCACAGAATAATCCCTCCCATCTCCCCACAATGCATGTGTTCATGAAGCTTCAGAAGCACCCTGTCTAGCATTCATGTGCCTCCCCCTTCCCCTCTCCTTGTCACACTCAAGAAATAGGAGACGGAATGTAGGTGAAGCAAAATGATCCTCTCAGAAATCACTGAGTGGACCGAGGAATAATGTAGCCCAAGAACAAAGGAAAACTGTTTAGGAAGCCTAATATAAGCAGCTATGGGGACAGGGACTCAGTTTTTTAGTCTCATTTGTATTCTGCTTTCTCTGGATGAATTAAGCGGATCAAATGTCGATTATACCATTTTGTTTATACAGGAACCCTGTGAATTAGGTTAGGCTGAGAGGCCATCCAGTGAGCTTCAGGACCAAGCAGAGATCCGAACACATGTCTTGGCCCAAGGCCAACCCCCTGTCCACTACTTTATGCTGTTTCTGGCACTGTATCAGGAGCTTGCCTCAGCAACACAGTCTTTCGTTTAGTGGGGGGAAATGGGGTGCCAGTTGTCACTGCCCAAAGACACAACCATGCTGATGTTTCTAGCCAGTCATTGCGGTTTCCAGCAGTCTGGGTTCCCATAATGTCTGATCATATCATAATGAATCTTGCTATGTAAGTACTGTTAATCTGTTGCATCAACACACAAACAGTATGTGGGTAGCTAGATTATTCTGTTCTCTTCACCAGTACTGAAGGCTACGTAATCTGTGAAGAATACAGAGAGGTGCTTGTTGCAGCCTGGGAGAATGAAGAAGCAGAGAGGGAAAAGAAAGAAAAGGAGGTAAGAAGAACCCTTTTGAAAGAGCCCATCCCCTCTCCCCTTTCAGTGAATTCAACTGACATTGATGGAACTGGACAGCATTAGAGAGCAAGGCAGTTCCTTAAACGTACATCTGGTGAACAGTAAAATGTTTTCACCATTTCTAATATTAACCTCTACCCAGATGGTTCCTAAATGTTTGTGTTCTTGAGTTGTCACCTGGTTGTGAATATGGAGGTAAATTTAACATTAGGGATGCTTTACTTTTGTGATTGGAATCCCGTTTTTCAAGATCAGACCAATTCAACACAATACATAGAAAGTTACAGCCCCCACAATTAATAATGATTTGGATGTAACTAGTTCTTCCCTTTGGGCTAAAGGAGTTCAATTTACTAAGTGTTATTCTCTTGTAAGATTTAAGGTCTACAATTATTTTAATTGTTGTGCCTTCCGCTTCCTAATTTTGAGTGAATTTTAAACACAGAAGCGGGATAAAAGAGTGTTGGGGAACTGGAAACTGCTGGTGAAAGGAGTTCTGATCCGAGAGAGACTGAAGAAACGCTACTCCACTAAGGTAAAAAACTATTGATATAAGCTGTCTTTCTCCTGCTTGGACGTTGTTATTGACGAGATTATTCAGAACTGTATGGACACTGGAAGACTATATTGGACTCTTGAAGAAAGAGT